GGAAAGAACAAGTATTGCCGACTGCCTGCACCATTGTTTTGAAAGTATGCATTCGGATTAAAATGGTAACTGTGCTTTAATCGCAAATTGCCGTAACACAGCCAAATTTTTTAAGGACGAAGTAAGTTGTTACAAAGAGCTGCACGACATATTGCATGGCAAAAATAACTTATCAGAAGCGGCGAATGTTGAGAAGGAACTGGAATATATATACACTGATTTGGAACAACAGGATGATGAGATTGACAGGGAATGTTACGAATCTTGACTGGTGGTATTGCTTTTGTATGAATATGCGCAGTGGAATTGCTGGCTTTTGAACAGACAGGACCAACTGAGACGCTTTTTGAAGATTTTTTTGACAAAAATATGAAATATCACGAAAAATTACCGTTAGCGGGCATGTTGCAGCAATAAGTAGGTTCTCCTCATAGCTCGAGAATGGAAGATTTGAAATTTTTGCCGAGGCTCATCAGCCAATCTTTCTATGGTTTTTTTCATTTGTCTCAATGAAACGTGTACTGCCTATGCCAGGGAATCGAGCCCTTTATTATCTGGCTTATATAAGCAAATCTAGAAAGAGGGGACCGTGAACATACTGCTGGCGGTTAGTTACTGCACGTGTGTTTTGCCAGTCAAGTTACTTCCGAATGTTTTTTTTTTCCACGAGCAAATGGTTTGTGGGAAAAAGTTTTATATGCACAATAAAAATCATAATTATTCGAAAAAAAAGAAAATTATGCAGCGCTGAAGTTTGTGAAATAGGAAAGATTGACCGGCCGCATTTTTAAGTAGAATCAATAATTGTTACGATAAAAATGAAAAATTAACAACTGAATAATGTATGTAAACGTGATGCGCACATGTAATAGGGGGGACGGGAGGAGGGTCCGGTGCGGATTGGAATCATGCAGTTCAGAAATCCAGGGAGACTTGGCTTACCCACGTTCGGCGTGTTGTTGCATTATAATATATTCGTAGAGAACCATCCAGCACAAAAAATTGTGACTTCTGGAAAACGTTACTTGATTTCTTCACGATCCTGAAATGTTCTGGAATCCTAGAATAGAACTTCAAAAATCACAGAATGTTATGGTGTACGTTTGCACGATCATAGCTTCGGCCATTGATCCGGTATTTTCTGGATGTTCTGTAATTCAGAGTTTTATGAAAGACGTGCCTTTCGTGTGGAATGTTTGGTGGGCTAAGGTATTTGGAATGCTCGATGAGAGAGTTTATAAGGAAGTCATTATATTACTAGATTATTGCAGATGTAGCTAGTAATTACACCCACTGGCGGATCCAGGGGGGACGTTGGGTAGCGGAGCGTCGGACATTGCGGAGGGGAGGTTAGTGAAGTTTCCGATGTAGTGGCCAGGAAGGGGAGGAAGGTGAATCGTCCAGAGCATCCCCCCTCCCTCTCTCCACTCCAGAAGGACGTCCTAGATCTATCTATGATTACATCACTTTTTTAAATTTAACTTTTTTTTACTCGTAATTGCATCGCCATCAGATAAAAGCATCCTCGTATCATCATTCAAACGAAAGCGTAATAGCGATTGTTCGGGCAGTCTTGATATTGTTTGGCAACTGTCTTCGACATGCGAACGGTCTGACACGCTACACTTCGTTGTTGTCTCATTGCAGGAAACTTCGGTTCTGGTGTTTCTTCAGATTAAAGTGGTTTTACTCGAAGTCATCCGGTCAATTCTCTAATTGGGAATGCTTGTTGCTAAGGTACCACTCGGATCTTCTACTGCCAGTGGAGTGCGATTAGGGTTCGGCTTCTATGTTCTTGAAAGTATAGTGTTTTGTCCGTTTTCTGGTTTTGTCAAAAAGCGAAAGAGAAATTTGTCCTTGAGTATCGAAAAGAAAATAGCAGCAGTTTCGTCGTCTTTTCTCATAAAAGCTCTATCTTCGTGCATTTTGATCGTCGAAGAGGATATGGCGTCCTGCAGCAGGATGAATAAGTCTGTAGTTGTCAGCGCAATTGTCA